TATTTTTCCCCACAACCACCACCCTGAGTGTAGGTTGGGCTCAGCTTCCATGACTGGATTTGAACTTTGCTCTCTCCAATCCTGCTCTGGCAACCTCTACGCCATCCTGAGTACTCACTGTCCAAAGAACTGGGGCACACATTTGTATGAAATACTCTTATATTCCAGGTATGAATACGCTTGTATTGCAACTCTCTATGGTCAGTGGGTCCTGCCACAGGTTTGTTGGTTTTTAAATTGTGAATGCTCGTTAACAACAATGGCTGTCCTGATTTTGTGTAGTTTGCTAGCTGTTCAGACACCATTTTGGGGAGTGGCCAGTGCATGTTTATCATCGCTTTATTTGTTAATCTTCATTAGATATTATAAATTATAAGCAATCTGAAAAATTTCAAATAAACTCACTTATAATAAAGTAAAAAGCTGACTTTATTGAATAAAATAGCCTAAGTCTCCTACAGAGTATACACAGTGTACAAAGTGGCTTGCTGTATACACACGTAGGCACAAATAAATACACAAACTGATTTGACAGACACACACATAGTTTCCTATCTTCAAAGTCACTCCTTCTAAAAACATTTGAGGATAATTGCATGCATTTCCCAAATTTAGATTACCCAAAATAGGTTTGCTTGATTCTGCCCCATACTGAAATATGTGATACCAAACCACCTTAAAAGGAGGAGCAATGTATTTATATTCTCCTCTAGCTAATTGAAGGCAAAGGCTCAAAGTAGTAAATTATGAGTAACCTTGAGGAATTGGAAACTATTCCCAAAGCCTGGCTCTGTACAAACCTTAGCACAGGGGCTTTCATGTAGTCTCTACTGAAGTAAAAATATGTAGAGTTTCAGTTTGGCAAAAATACATTCTAGATCTATGCACAGATCTCAATACCTTCAATTTGGCCCCTTTTGGAAGTCATTTTTGGGGACTGATAATCATAGATGTTTGGGGAAGACCCAAGCTGTGTTTGGATTTACACACAACTAACCTCACAGGTGCAGTCACTTCTTTTACAAATAAAATTAAAGTAACCAAACTTGACTTGAGACTAAAATGCCCTTTTATCCATTATCAGAGACTGAATAGACCAGGTGACAGAGATACCAACAGATGGAGAGAAACATCAGAAATATTTACTTCAAATCCCATAATTACTAACTCAGTATGACACTGCTTCCTAAGAATTATGGGTCCAATTCTGGAGATCTGGGGAGGACCAAGATGGAGGAAGACTACATTACAGACACAAGTAGACAACAGATTAAAAAACTCTCAAGATGTAATTGCCCAGAACATGGCAAATGCTCTAGCTTTATCCTTCTCTGAGAACTACTGGAAACATTAAAGGGCAGGTATATAGAGAATTCAATAATACAAAACCACCTCTTTCTGTGCTGTGCAGGAAAATACAAATAGGCTGCAGATTATCCTAAAGGTGAAGAAAAAAGAAACTGAAAAAGCCACGAATCCCCAGGATAATTGTATGCAGGTAGTTTTAACAAGCATACCCAGACAAGACCATCTGCCATGATGCCAAGGATGTAAGTTATAATTAGCAGTAATTCTGATACTATGCGTGATGTAGACTTTTTTCATTAAAATCCTGGCTGGAAAAACAGTTAATTTTCTAGAAGTCAAGTAGAAGCATTATACCCCCTGAGAAGAATGCTTAAAATAGTGTTCAGTCAGAATACAAAGTTTTACAGAACCATTACAAAGACATATTAAGGCATCTACCGACAAATAAGGGAATACTTTCATTTCATGCAGTGGCTGTGAATAATAACTGTTAACCACCTTGGACACCCAGGAACTAGTAGAATTCTATCAATACCATATTATGGGAAGACTAACTTTTCAAATAGTGGAAGTTCTACAAACCAAGAACAATAGCATTCTGACCTTCAAAGTGCTAAAATCCTGTTTCCCTAAGGAGGTTCAACTTAAGAATACCCACAAAATTGGTCTTATGGAGCCTGCTATCTGAAAAGTGGAGTAATCCCAGAGCTAAAGAACCAGTATCAAATTCTATAATCTTTCTTTGCAACTTCATTAAGTTCCCTTGTGTTTCTAATTTCTGCATCCATTCTGCCTTTGCTTCAGTAAAATAATGGATATACTAGTGTTCACACAATCACTTATCAAGTTCAAGATAAAGTGTAAAGACAGCAAAAGTGCACAAGTGTAACCCTATCAATTCTACTGTTTGTAATGATTACAAAGTAAAAATACCAATTTATTAAAAATAAGTTAAAAACGTGTCATTACCATTTTAAATTGATTTTATTTCCTCTTGACTACTCTGGCTTAGAATTGTGCAAAGGTTCTGGTTAACATTTGTAAAAACTTGTACTAGCACTAACACTGCAGGGCTCTGCTTAGATAACTTCTCATGTCTTAGTGTTCTGGGTTCACTGGCAAAATTTAAAACAATTTTAACTTACATTTTAGGATTATGTTGCCAAGAACAGAATATTGAATTTGTCTATTTTCTCACATGCTTCACTATATAGGGAGAGAAATATATCCCAGAGTCATTAAGACATCCATAATTTTAGAAGAATGAGAAAGGGGATAGGAAGCTAACTGGCAATTCATCTAATTACTGCATCAACAATATAACAATGCGTAAAAAACAGATAAATCATTACAATGATATATTTAAAACCAGTCTACATAACCTTTCCAAAATAATTCATAAATCCTACATATCAGTATCTATTTAAAATGTTAAATAAATATTAGGGTGCCATGACTTTTTTTTTTTTTTTTTATCTGTGCTCAGTCGTTACCGACTCTGCATTGACTGCTTGGACGAGTCCTTTGCAGTTTTCAAGGCAAGGTGTTTCGGAAGTGGTTTGCCA